AGTCTCCTCTGTCTCTACACTGGAGTTGCCGAGAATACTCTTAACAGCGGCCAGGAGAGCTGCATGCTGGTCGCGGAAGAATTGGGGGCCCCTTTCAGCCAGAGAGACAAGAGGGGCCAAGAGCTCAGGAGATGGCTGTCGGCTGATCATCTGCAAGACCACTGGACACAAGGAGCAGTAGGCCGTTATCGCCTTCGTCTTCGCTTCTTTAGCCTCCGCCGTCTCCGTTTTCCACCGAGACGTGCTGCGAAACAAAGCACCTCCAGCACCAAACTGACACATGAGGAGGCCTCGCTAAAAACAAAGACGAACAAATAAAAACGCCATACAGACAGCCTAGACACATAAAGGGAAGAACACATAGACGGCACAGTATGACGGACAGATAACGAAAAAGGTAAAGCACCTACCGATAAAACAATGTCTCCAGGGCCTCCTCGCCAGCCGCACATTTCTGCATAAAGCGCACAAACAGAAGCAGCCAGGCTGGGAGATGCAGTTGGTCTGGCCCCAACGCCAACTGGTGAGACAGCAGTCAGATACTTGAACAAACTAAAGAAGTCTAAGAGAATGAGTAAGCATTTACATAGAAGCTAGGGACTTTAGGGGCGCCCCTTTTCCCCCTTTTGCTGCCTATGTGTTTGTGTTTATTTGCATGCGTCGCCATGTATGTATCCATATGCAGTCACCCCTCCTGGCTACACGCATGNGTTTGTGTTTATTTGCATGCGTCGCCATGTATGTATCCATATGCAGTCACCCCTCCTGGCTACACGCATGTCGATAGCCGCAAAGGATAGAGTCCACCCACCTTGACATCTAGCTGCTGAAATGTGAGGTTCAACTTCTGGACGAGTTGGTCCGTGCGCGGTACATACACCTCAGGGTCAGCGATGTCAGCCAGTCGATCAACCAATAGCCACAAAAGACATTCTTCTTCCGAAGATACCCCCTGACCCGGCTGGGCGTCAAGCCATTGCAAGATGAACCCAAAAGGGGCTGTCTGGCTGATGGTTGCTGCGCAGAATAAGAGAACACAGCGGACGCTTGGGTAGAGATGAGTACGACGTTTCTCATGAGAAGTAAAAATATTAAAATGATTAAACCATTTTATATTTAAACACGAGAAAACATAAAAGCACCTGTAGACGGCAAATGTTGCCACAGCTCTCCGATTGCCTCAGCTGCTGCTTTCCGCACAACGAAGGGACCCCCGGAAGAGAAAGCGGGTAAGAGGCTCCTCATAACCATTTCTACGAGNCTTTCCGCACAACGAAGGGACCCCCGGAAGAGAAAGCGGGTAAGAGGCTCCTCATAACCATTTCTACGAGCTGTTGCTTCTGCTCCAAGTTGTCCTTCATTTCTTTCAATTTGCTGTTTGCATACCGCCGGACTAACACAGCCGCGAGCTGCCTACTCGACTCGTCCTCCTCTGATGCAGAAGCTGCAGCAGCAAGAGCGGGCAACAGCTGCTGCAGCGAAGACTTGTTCAGCAGGTCCTCCGCGGCATTACGCACAGCCGTGTCCGACGACTGCAGCTGGGCCAGGACCTGCAGGTAAAGCCAACAACCAACAGCAACCACAACTCCACGCCGTTGCCTGGCCAGCCACTGCATATACTCGAGCGAATCAGCAGGTGCTGCAACGGCATAGGCACTTAGAAACCCGCAGATGAATGCGTACAAACACATGTTTACGCAAACACAACTGCACACCTAGGTGTGTGGAGTTACAGCTGGAGAAACGCGCTACAGACATGCGTCCCTCTGTACTCAGATGCAGGTCGCCAAACAGCACGATATAACGACAAGAGGAGATAAAGAGTCGTGCATGAGCGCGAAATAATATTGAAAATACTCACCTCCTTCATGGCGGCGTTGTTCTGACTAGCTGGGAAGGACATTTGCGGCATGGTTGCGTTTAGCTCTCAACAGAGACGGTCAGGGTAACCAGTCGCCGGTAGCTGGCGCGGCCTCTAGATGATATTTGAGTTGTTTTTGGTTTACTTTTCGGATGAAATACTGAATTTAATGTTCAATGAGAGATGCAGGAGCATACCAGGGGGATAAATATCGCCCAAGTGTTACACACGTTCTTCCGGAGAAGCGGCGTCCCATTACAGCGCAGAAACCCTCGTAAAGGCTTCCAAGGATCTGCGAGTATCCCCTCTTATTTATACTGCCAACAATTAAGGTGAAGAAGATTAATATGTAACAAGACGTAGAAGGGTACCCCTTCAGCTGCACGCACCCAAAGAGTGGGGTGGGGCCCCCCTGAACACAGCCCCGATTGGGCAGTGAACCGTGTCGCTTACAAGGCGCTTAGCTCCGTATATTTCTTTGATCGTCAGTATAATAAATTATAATGCCTCACTCTCACCCGAATAACAAACACAGAACCAGGATATAGCCGCCGAAAGCTCAAAGACACGGGATCAGGACCCCTCATTCTTAGTTGAGCTGGCACGCGGTGTGCTGTCTGTTGAGCGCGTCCTTTTGTGCTGAGAAGAAGTGGGAATTAGTATTATTAGTATTAGTAGAGGGTCCTTTCATTTGCAAAGCGTTTATATCTGTGTTTTCTCGGCTCATCATTTATTATTAGTGCGAGGACGGAACTGGCAGAGGGCTGTTGCATTTCTATGAACGTTGTACGAGTCTCACTATACGTTCAGTTCTGTGTGTCAACTCAGATAGAGGTAAGCATTTCTGCCTGATAGCAGCGCCATTGTAACCAACATTAGCTGCTCCTTGCAGCCTTAACAAATGCTGTCAATGCTGTACCTCTAGAACTTAGCAAGCTGCATGTGTGACGAGACTCCTCGATCGTATTCAAGGGATGTAGCGAGCTGCAAAAGAGCTCAAACACTTAATATAAGAGCTTCCAAAGGCAACGGACATCCTCGTCAGTCCCCAGGCGTACTAGGATGTGCGTCCCTAGAGAGGGAGAGGAGTTGGCCTGATACGAGTTGCAACTCGTGCTGCACCCGCACATGCATGCACAACAAAGCCTTCTTTGCTACATGCGGTAACACTGTCGAAGATTGTTGAAAACTTACCTTGTTCTTAGTAGGCAGCCTGCAAGTAGGTGGAAGTGCAGACCTCTTCACGCAGGCCAGGCCATGCTACCGTCCGCGCCTTCATGCACATACGACGTGATAAGACTCCTCTAACATAGCAGAGGACTGTGGTGGGTGGTTATGGAGTCAAAATATTTAATAACATTTTCCGGAGAGCAGCGGAGGTCCCCTGCAGCCTCCAGGCGTTGTGTTCACATCAGCGTAAAGGCGTGGGTTGGGTGCGGAGAGGAGGCAGTCTCTCACAAGCTGCAGCACTTATTTCTGCAGTTCCTGCTGTAGCTCAACTGCAAGCTTCACATAAGCCCCCTTTGGTACATGAACTAACACATTGGACGCTTTTGAGCAGCAGTACATGCACTGCACCCTACTACAGCAGCATCCGCTCCACTTGCGTGCGAGTAGTGGGTGATCTACCCTTGAAGGTTTCGTACATCGTTACGAGGTGTTTGACGGAACGTAGCATGCAGAAAGTCTCGCGCAGCAGCCCCAGCAACGGAAAACCCTTATAGCTGTTTTCCGTTGCCGGGGCCTGAAGAGTGTACTATACATCGGTATGAGCATTGAATTATACGTACACTATCCACGCAGATCTATCGATCTAGCATGGGCTTCTGCGGTGTACGCTGCTGTGCAGTGCAGTCCCAACACTCCATTGAAATCATTGTAAGTAATAAAGCAGCATTATAAATGGTAAATTCAAAACGATTTGAAGTTGGAGGCGAAAAGCAACGCCGCATTCAAACATTTTAGCGGCGTCCAAAACAGCAACCAAGCGTCTCCAATGTATATAATCTATTAATATCATTTAGGGGGATAAATTCAAGAACTATTCACCTCCAAAGGTCACAGACTGTAATTTGTCGACTCATCTTCACTTGCACCCACAGTCCCACGCGGGGGAGGTGCCAACCTTGGAGGAATCTGTTATCTTGCCCTTCAGAGACTACAGTATGCCATGGCTAGCGCCCAAAGCCCACTCGGCATTTCTGTAGTTGTCCAAAGGCGCCTACCGTCAACCAGCTTGCGTGCTCACAAGCGTTATGATGTGTGAAGTGCTACCCTTGAGTTATTCTCGGCGTTTGCTGAAGCGGAAATACCTTAAATATTTTACCCTGTTCTCCCCTCCGGAACAAGTCTGGGCTCAGCTGCGGTAAATCTTGCAGGTGCTGTTCGAGGAACACATTGGCATGCTCCTTAGCTTTGTCTGGGAATGTCCCCGCTTCAACACGCTTAACCAGCTTGCTGATAGACCGTTTAGCCCAATTTTGCAGACCTTGTTGCTCCATACATGTATCCGTCGCGTCTTTAATGAACTGAAAAAATCACCAGGAAATGCAGCATATGAAACGACTCTAAAATCCCAAGACCCAGCATCTCGTGCAGGGATCTGATCTCAAAAGGAGAAGCCACTGGCGGCTCCCCTNTAAAATCCCAAGACCCAGCATCTCGTGCAGGGATCTGATCTCAAAAGGAGAAGCCACTGGCGGCTCCCCTGAATAGTCCCTTTGCATCGCTATTCCCCTGTCCCTACTGACGCCCTCCCAGCTAAGTAAAAAATTTATTTTGAGGAAGCTTACAACGTCCAGCAAGTGCAAGGGACAGAACCCGTAGCCCAATTCAAAACTTGCATTCTTGTCAGCCGGCCCGCAGTACCGTCCAAATGCAAAGAGCCAAAAAGGGACAACCATAAGAGTCCGGATAAGGTCCCACTGAACTCTAGGGTCCAGTGAAATGTCCAAGATGCGCCCCGCCGTCTGAGCAATTTCTTGTGCATACTTCCTAACATGAATCTGCAAGCAAAAATATGGATATCGCAAGGCATGTCCCCTTAACAAATATAATATCCGATTCGATCTGCCAGCACCAGCCGCCTTAGCACATTATTATAAGGTTATAGAAGCCTTGTAAGTCAGTATACTGTTCGAGTTTCTAAGCGCTTAAGCTCAAATAGAAGACCAGCGTGAAAGCAGAAAGTGAGCATGGACTCTGCACTCTTCACGCCTCTCCTGCACAATAAATGCAACAATGAAGAGACTTGCCTGGGCTGCTGGTTGAAGGTGCGTAGAGGCGAAAGTTATGAGCAGGTTGCGGTTGCTCAAAACTAAGCCAGATATCTCCTGTCTCGTGGTTCCCTCAGGGAGTTCCCGACGATTCAGAGTGAGTGACAACAGGTATGCACCGCCAATCAACAGCCTGAACAATGCACGACGACACAACTAGGATATTAACTGAAATCCCAAGTACGGGCGGCTCCATACTGGGATTCCTGTGTGAAGTAGGCTCTCATAAGCCTTTTTATGCACGCATTCTCTATGAGATATCTGGCAGCTCATCAACTCAAAAGAGATGCCCAACGCTTCGATGGTACCGCACCTGTGAATAGGAGGAATCTGAAGGTTCAGAATCCTCGAAAGTTGAGACGGGAGGTCTTTGAGCGACTCCTCAGGAAGAGGAAGTATTTTATCTTCATATTGGGGGAAATATATGGGCCGGACTGTTGGGTTGGGACAGGATGCGGTGGCCTCATTGAACTTTCGCAGTAGTTCTGAGGTCCTGATCCACTTGTTCGTGAGTTTTAATATCGAACGCCGATACTCGGGGGAGCTCTCTGGTGCGACCTCCCTTATCGCGAAGTGAGCNTGAGTTTTAATATCGAACGCCGATACTCGGGGGAGCTCTCTGGTGCGACCTCCCTTATCGCGAAGTGAGCAAACTTGACCATTGACCTCAGCAACATCTCAGAAGTGACCGATTTGTTCAGTTCAGCTGTCCGCCAGAGCTCCAAAGCATGCAAATCCTCTATCTCCTGGAGTTCCCGGGAAATGTGAGCAACGCAGGGGTCAGCAGCTGCCTGAGAAGGAATTCAAAATTGCAATTTAAAGGCACAAAACAACAATAGAGGAAGTTTGCCACTGTGAGGCCTCTTGAGGGAATTATCCACCCCAAGAATGGTGCATTGAAGCTGTCGCATGCCTGTTCTGCTACAGAAATAGCCCAGCATGTCTTTTCATCTGAAGGGAACGCACGTTACATACCTCATCGAAGGTGATAGAAGGCACAGGTCGTTCTAGCTCCTCCATAATAGAAGACATATTCTGTATGGGATCACAGGAGCGAAAGAACAGCCGTGCGATGTCAATAAATAATAGAACAAATGTGCCTTCTAACTTGCTCGAGAGCTATAGGTGCTTGTGGTACGGTTAAGGTCAAGTTAACCAGCGAGCAACACATGAGCAGAACTTTTGCTGTGGGTGGAGGAGGTAGACACTCTTTTTCCAAGTGCAATATCCCGTGCTCTTTTCGTCTACTGCTTTGTTTCTAGAAATTGCCGGCAGAAGGAGGCCGAAAAGAAAACAGGGAGCTAAGTATGGGAGTGCTTCAAACTCTAGCAAGTCGTTTCACGGTGTCTGCCATACCTCAGCACTCTCGCGGGGAAGGCTCATTGGTACATAACCAAGCATCTGAGGAGCACAGTAGAGACACAGCAAGACGACTAGCATTTCCGAATCGCTACGAACTACAGTGGTGTAACGGTGAGACAGGGATGGATTTAGCAGATTTGCAATCCTGCTGAGGGCTGGCTTGAACGTACGGGTAACGAAGGATCATTCAAGCTTCTATGGAGCT